CCCCACCTGAAACTACTTGCCGACCCATATACAAAAACCGCATGGGAGCTGATTCCCAGTTCTTCCGCCATCCCACGCACCGTTTGTGAACGCCATTTCGCAAACCAACGTCGTACAGTGCGTGCGTTCATTAACACTATCATTGCGAAATGCCTGATATGCTTCGGTAGCACTTTATTCCAATTTGAATTCGTAGAGAAAATATGGCCAAAAGTCGCTGAAGGATATCATGTTAATGAGCTGAAGAGAGGTAAAATTTGGAAAAAATGGACGTTATCAATGTATAGAATGAATATTGGAGCTACAAAAACACATGGCATTAAAACAGACGAGACGTTCAAAACCACCTAATAGAATACGTATAAGCGTATAAACGGTGGCATATCGCTTTGACGATTTCTCTACATCGAATGCCACAAATTTCTGATAAATGATCGGTCAATAAACCTTAAACGGTTAACGTTTGACGCTAGTTATATGCAACGACACAGTAAAATAAATATTCATTGAGATATGTAGTTACAAAAATACATGACATCAAAGCGGACAAAACGTTTAAAACCACCTAATAGAATACGTATAAGCGTATAAGGTGGCATATCGCTATGACGATTCCTCCATATCGAATGCCACAAATTTCTGATAAATGATCGGTCAATAAACCTTAAATGGTTAACGTTTGACTCTAGTTATATACCACGATACAGTGAAATGAATATTCATTGAGATATGTAGCTAAAACACATGACATTAAAACGGACAAAACGTTTAAAACCAGCTAATAAAATACGTATAAGCGTATAAGGTGGCATATCGCTATGACAATTTCTCCACATCGAATGCCACAAATTTCTGATAAACGATCGGTCAATAAACCTTAAACGGTTAACGTTTGACGCTAGTTATACGTTAATTGGTTCACTGAACATTTCTACCACAATATATCCTGACTCAATGTGAAATAGTATCTGCATGTTGCTAAAAAGCCAAAAGTTCTTTTTATCGCGGCAAAAATGCTGGCGGGAACACATTCCTGATATCTGCACATGTATACAAATTTTGACACAAAAACTGCATTAGAATTACGGTTTTGGAACACGAGAAACATTTTGCTCGAATGGGATAAACGAAATCTGAATGTAGGTCATTCTTATCTCTCAGGCTTTTCAGAACTGATCTTGAAACACTTTTATTCTGTTGGTAACGATGTGAATTGAATTAAGTGGAACTACTTTTAACGGATTTCACTAGTTTTGGATGATAAATATTTTCCTTCATTACAATGGTCTCATTGGTTCTTTTATATGAGTATATGAGTACCAAATGCAGAACTTTAAAAAATAACGAATGGTAAATAAATCATTGGAATGGGTGTGAGAAACTTCTGTTGAATAACTTTTTCAGTTTTCAACATTCAAAGTCGAATAATCTTTTAGAAATGATCATATCGTACAGATATGTAGATATTCCCGCCTGTTTTAGAGGTATAGTCGAAGTTACCGATATAGTAATTCTTAAAGCTTCGGCAAACTCAAAGGCCAAAAACACCAATACAAAGAAATAATGCCGCTTCGAATTAGTCCACGTGGACTGAAGAATTGTCGGTTCGTATTGGATAATTTTTACTAATGTTACGTTACGTTATGTTACGGTGACCAATAGAATATGAGGATGGTTAGAAGAGTCGTGTTGTCAATGTTCAGTTCAGGAATAATGCCGCTTCGAATTAGTCCACGTGGACTGAAGAATTGTCGGTTCGTATTGGATAATTTTTACTAACGTTACGTTACGTTATGTTACGGTGACCAATAGAATATGAGGATGGTTAGAAGAGTCGTGTTGTCAATGTTCAGTTCAGGAACTGATCGCGATTTGAGTGTTGAAATTCGATATTGGTGTAGTTATAATTACTTGAAATTTTTGTTGTTTGTTTAAAATGTGGCGTCCTTGGACAAGTACTAATAGTAATAACGAGTGTGATAACAACGCAGACTTTTTCCTGTGTAGTGATTCTAATAGCGCTGGTGAACAATGCGAAAAAGCGATACAAGTGAATACGATTCGAATGCGTTTGACTATTGAAACACAGAGAGTATGTTTCAATGTATATAAGAATCTACATATCAAGTTTGGTTTCGAGGGAAAAAACTATTACAAGCAACATCAGATTTGACCGAAATTTCTCTCTCAACTGTACGTAAAATAGTCAAAATCAAATCTTATGAATGCAAGATGCGATTTGATGTAGGATTACCAAAACCTTCAGATGTTCATCTAATAAAATCATTAAAAAAACAATATTCGACTGTTACGAAAGCAATGAGATTCCTACAATTGAAATCATAAGGAAGAAATTGAATACTTCCGGCCATAACGTGAGCTGCTGTGACAAAACTCTTCAGAATTGGATAAAGAAACTATAATTTAGATTTAAAATGATAAACAAACGTCAAGCAGTTATGGAAAGATAAAGAATAGTGCAATCGTGTAACAAATACTTAGAACAAATAACCTAATATAGACAAGAACAATGGAAAATTTTCAATTTGGACGAAACTAGTTATGACACTCACGACACAGTTACGAAAAGGTAGACCATCTTCATTACATTCTGGTAATCTTCCATCAACTGAGTCAGTATCTCATCCAGGCCATGAAGTACCAACCCCGTCAAGCGTTGTCAACGTTCAGTTCATGGAGATAGAGCCTCATACTACCCCTGAAATACTATATCCGTCAAGTTCTGCAAACCTTTTCTCTTCAGAGTCAGCAACTCGTACACCTGAAACTCAATCGATTCAAAAAGATCTTCTTGCACCTGTTCTTTCCGTAAATCAATGTTTGCCAGTTCAGCTATCCAATGCTGATTCCCCACAACAAGATTGTTAACAATTATTTGAAGTGCAAGCAGGAAGTGCCATGCACATTCGTTCTCCCATACGAGCCGTCTGCCGTGATTTAACTTCTACTTTCGAAAATGCTTCACCTAAAGATATATTGTCAATACCTGCAGTTCAACTGAACAAAGGAAAAAATATCAAAGAGGTAAAACAGCGGTAATAACCTTAACTCCAAATAAAAAGTAACTTGAAGCTTTAAAATTGTCAAAGAACGTTCCGGCTAAAAGAAGTAACTCATCAAAGGACGTTCCAGCTAAAAATAGTAAATCGTCCAAGAACGTTACTACCAAAAATAGTAAACTTCAGAAAAAGACCAGGCCACCAACTTCAGGACAAGAAGATAGCGTTTGTTTTCATTGCAATGATACAAACCACACTTACCTGAAATCTACCGAAAATTGGGTGAAATGTCAATTCTGTGAGCGATGGGCTCATACTGCATGTGCGGGAATGGATGATGAAAACTTAGAAGAAGTACTCATATGCATGTTCTGTGAAGAAACTAAAGTGCCATTAATAAATCAAAAGATTATGTTGATTTTTACTGTAGTTTTTCATTTGTGCTTGTTTTCCCTTAGCGTCCCCATCATACCCCTAGTTCCCCTAGGTATGATGATATGTAAACAGATCTGAAGTAATTGCAAGAATTGAGGTTCTCGTTCTTTTCAAAATAGATGAAAAAAAATCAGTGTGCTGTTGATATGTGACAAGCGCATTTGATTTTGGAGTTGAAATCATTCCAATTGGGTTGACGTTAATGTTGAACATACTGTAATCTGAAGATTGCATTCAAATGAGAATAGTAAACAATTTTTTTAAATGTATTTATTATTCAGGATTTTTTATAATCATGTCACACACATTTTGGCATTCATAAACCTAGAAAAAGCTTTCGACAAGGTACCAAGAACAGAATTATGGGAGAGTCTGAAAAATAGAAATATCGATGAAAAAACCATGAATATGATTAAAAACATATATAGAAATAATAGAAATTATGTTATCAAAAACAACATGAAATCAGAAGGTTTCAAAACAAAAGAGGGTTTGAGACAAGGTGGATCATTGAGCCCAATGCTTTTTAACATTTTCATGGACGACATCATCAAGGAATGTAATAGAAATAGCAAAAAAATGTGCATCGGATACAAAAATATGCAAAGAGTAGAGATAGCTGTGGGAGCATTTGCATAATACTGATACTGACATACTACTGATAGCTGAAAATGAAGAACGATTACAACATAATATAAAAATATGGAATGAAACACTGAAGAGAAAACAAATGAGAATAATCAAAGATAAAACCAAGGTGATGAAATAAATATAATGATAGATGATAAAAAAATAGAACAAGTAAAAGATTTCAAATATCTAGGCGTAATAATAGACGAAAAAGGAAGACAAGAAGCAGAAATTAACAACAGAATCGAGAAAACCATAAAATTATACTATACAATGAATAAGAACTTCATCAATAAAAGAAAATTTCAAGACAGACAAAACTACAAATATTCAAAACAATATATAGGCCAGTATTAATATATGGATGTGAATCTTGGATACTAACAAAAAAAAATCAAAAGTAGAATACAAGCAACAGAAATGAAATACCTGAGGAGAATAGGAGTGACAAGGAGAGATAAGGTAAGAAATACACGAATAAGAGAAGAACTAGACATAGAAGACATTATTTCATTTATAGAACAAAAACAATTAGGATGGTGGGGACACATACAGAGATATATGTTTCTTCATAAATCGGTGAACCTAAAAACCCTGGAGTTTCACTGCTTACTCCACAACTCTGTAGAATCACAAAAATTGCAAATGAGGGTGTTATTGATTTCAAAAACACCTTGGCAATGTGTAGGCATTGCATCTTTTCTTCAAAGTGATTTCTAGACGTAAAAATCTACCAATCTTATCATGAGCGATTGAAAGTGTTTCTATTGAAAATTCGACATATTATTTTAGACGTAATGAAATATAACATATGACTTTTTGTTTTCACCGTATTTACGTATAGACCGATGATGTTGATTCGAATTGCTAGATATATAAAGCCAATTCAGAGACAATTTTATCATGATAATTACTTTTTCCAGGTATCATCATGATGCTGCATAACAACTCAACGAATAATATGACTACAGGTGAGTACAAAAATTAGGTTAACACTTCTGTTTCTGATTAATTATATCAGTTTCCATTGTTGTCAATACCTTATTGAAGTCATTGCCAAAACCCTGTAACAAAATTTGTAAATGAGTCGTAACAAAATTTGAATCGTAACAAAACAGATTCACTTGGTAAATACAGTTTTTCAATTCATAAATAATACTAGTGAGATTCATGAAACTATGTTTCCAAAAATATAAATATCATTAAAATATACTACTCCATATTGAGTGCTACTTGTCTCTTATAGATCTATATTTTGGAAAGGAAATTTTTGGGTTTCCACTACTCCATCTTGATAGAAAAAATGTGACAGTCTTCCAAATGAAGGAAGGAAGTAATCAATTTTAAAATAGTAATTTTATACATGAATGTGTAGATCATGCAAAGAAGTAACTGTCAGACTCAAACTGTAAGAAAAAGCCCTCCTGAAACAGTTACTTTCATATAAAAATTGAAATAGTCACCGAATTTTCAAGAAATTCTGTGATTTGAGATCGAAAATTTTGCGCTATCTAGATAGGACCAATCAACATAAAAAAAAGATTGATTTTATGATCATACTTTTGGAGAAATTTGGCTGTTATTTTGAAAATTCTGCACAAAAAATTTGGTGAAGGAACTTTCTCTTCACCAGTTCTGTTCATCTGGCGCCCAATATGCGGCCAAGCAGTATAAACGAAAATGGTTTTTGAAAAATTTCCTGACTTCTTAAGAAAATTTGACTACGTTATACTAGGAGGAAATCAAGTTTCCTCAAAGAATATAAAAATTATTCCAGGGTTAGAACGGAAATTTTCATCAAATATGTAATAATGCTGGACATTCAGTTGAAATACTCCTAGCTGCGGGATGTCGACCTAAACTGCGCCTTTTTTCTGTCAGGGTACCTTGGAATAGACGTCAGAATGAACAAGGTTTTGGGAGGAGACTGCCTCCTTCTCCTGCTTATGAGGTTCTTCCAACCACCAATAGTGCCACTCATTTTGCTTGCAGGTGATGGTGTTTCGAATAGAAGCGAAAAACACCTTCCATTCATTGAGTTTGGCTCCTGAAACTCTAAATATCGGTAATCCCAATAATTTCAAAAGTAAATCAAATTATGCATGAATTGCATGATGCGATAACCTCGGATAACATTTAAAGAACCCTTGTGGGTTCCAAGAACTGTTGTTTCAGGCCTAGATGGGCTGGAGATTCATTGGTGGAAAAACCTACCAAGTACCCACCGCTATCTGGCCAGAGTTTTCAACTAACTGCTGGACGGAAAGTACCCGATTCCGGATTGGTTCCTTGAGAGGCGGATCGTTCTCATCCGTAAAAGCCAAGATTTGTTGATTCCTAAAAATTACAGACTAACAATATGCTTAAATTCCTGTTATAATTTGTTTACGTACACAAGAATACTCTCCGCAGTTGACCAAGTATTCGATTTCTGATGGACTCGCTTCACCATATGCTGTGGGGACTACGGAGAGGATGTGAAGCTCATAGATGGAAACATCCTGCACCATCTGGATACCAGAGAGGCGATTACTCACCTCGGGGTGGAACAACTCCACTCACAATAGGTAACAGCAGTAAAGAACTCTTCGACAAGTATCAGCACGAATTTCGACATATCTGGTCATGGGAACTATCGGGGAAGAGCAAAGTTGCTGCTAGAAATATATTTGCCGTTCCAATCTCACCCTACTCGCTTGGTGTAGTGACCCGAGAGGGCCTGTATCAACTCGACGTAAAGACCCTTTATAGTAGTCCATTTCACGGTTTTACTTCACCCGACAACAGGGAGTGTCTACATGACAGACTGGTACTAGATGGAGCCTGTAAAGTCATCAGGGGATCGAATCTCATTTTACACATGGTTCGCGACCATGAGAGAGCAGGAATTGAATTATTCCTCTTTAGGGTAGCTGCCGAGCAGCTAGTGAACCCAGTGCATGGGGTCTCATTTAAATACATTGAAGACCTCGGCTCATCAAAGCGCCTAACCTTTCCTTGTCTCAGGTCGAATGGACTGAAAACGAGAACTGAGCGGTTCTTTATGGCATGCCAGGATGGTGTCTTCAAGACCTCAGTCGCGTGATGGATACAGAAGTTCACATCATTTTCCACCCTCAGGCTCATACAGGGCTAATGTAGTTTCTCTCGATTATCAGGGCAGATCATCAGCTCCCGGCGAGAAGAATATCGTCTGAAAAGAGAAGAAAAAATTGATAAAATATCGAGATTTCCTCTCCTAACTCCACAGACTATCCAGACTATTGTGTCAAGATAGTTAGGTCACATGATTCTCGGATCCAATGGTCATTTACCCCACGGTGGAGGAAGTGGTTATTCGTTGATAATGCTTTCGTTCCCTTCGAAATGAATCTGAGCTTTGGGGATAGATCCCAATTAGCATAACCTTGAGGCAAAATGTTAATAATGATAATGGACCTCATTCATCGATTCAAAATACATATTCATGAAACTCAAAAGTGAAACACGATGAAAGGCGAAGTTCAGCCGATGCTATTTTATAATTCAAATTTGAAGATAGGCATAATTAATCAACAATAATAATACAACAGGTTATATTAGCATAAGTGCACTGCACTTCTCTGTAGAGAAGTGCAGTGGAACACTTTACAATGAAATTGCTTGGTTATGGTAATCGAAAAAAAGACATGTACACATAACACCTATGAAAGTAGTAATAGCACACCAAACTACCTGAAGAGTCAACATGAATACGTATTACGCAGCCGTAATATCCAGTCATCGGATATTTCAACTCAGGATGTATAAATCCTGAGGAAGCTAGCCACTCGCGCCAGCAAAACGTTAGGAAGAAATTCCAAAAATCCACGGCCTTCAAGCCTGGAAAAAGTGACACTGAAAATCTCTGCCGCGAAAGTCTTAACGGTTTTGTCTCCGACTCCGACTCCGAATGTTTGAACATACTAAAAAACAATTGATCCTATTGAAAGATTTTCTATTGCGTATATTTTTGATTGACTGAATCAATTTCTTCTTGAAGTATCTTCTCACATTTTCAATAAAAAAAAAATTCAAAAACTTAGCTAACCTGTAACCTAAACTAGCCTACGGATAACAGTGAAACTGTTAATTCTCATAAGTGTACGCAATTTAGATGTTCGCAATTAGAAATATCGTGAAAGTCACGGCAAATGATTTTATGGTCCACCCAGGAATTGTGCAATGCTGAAGTTTCCTTTATCACGAATTGATGCTCATGATATTGGAAAATACTCGTAATGAAGGAATGGACCGGATCTTTTGTCAATAACAAAAGCCCTTGATCGAAGTGATTTGAAATTTGAGATTTTCCATCCGAGAGGTAATTTTGAAGGCGGAATCCTTCGGATCGTTAAATAAAATGAATTCAACAAAAAGCGCTGAGAATTTGTAAACATATTTTTCCAGATTCCTGTGCATGGGTTCGGTTTCATGAATTCTATGGATTTCATCAGACGCACATTTCTCAGAAATATTCTTTATAAAAGTGGAATATGTTCTTTTTTCTAAAAAATGCTTTTCCATTTTGTTCGGAATCAACAGTGAAAGAAATAAAAAAAATATTTATATTGACATTGGAAAATCAAAAAAAAAACGTGTCGAAACGCCCGACAGAAGTGATGACTCAAACTAATCTAAGTTGAACTATTCAACTTCTCACATATAGTCAGTGGGCATACTTGAAGACTGGCTATAAATCAAACCATCCAAAAGAAAAATTTGTTTAGGTCAGTCTCAACTCCCTACACTGTAGGTTAATGGACTGACACCCATCAGAAAACAACTACTCCCCTGGCTAATACCACGAAGGGCGTTGGACTATATCCGACGGATATGCGGTTGGTTACCTCGTTCACAGGCAGATGAGGTGATGACAAATTTTCAGCCTAGTTCGGGGAAAGGTACTCTGAAGGGATTCGACTTTCAATTATCGGAAATCATCGACTTTATGTTGATGATATACACTACCTTGCACTGACGAGTGGCCAAACAGCCCGAAACCGGTCTGCAAGTGTGTTCCAATGATTGAAAATCTATTGCGGCAGTTGTATCACCAACAGCTTATGCAGCATTGACACCTGTCGTATATAATCCAACGCCCTTCGTGATATTAGCCAGGGGAGTAGTCGTTTTCTGATGGGTGTCAGTCCATTAACCTATAATGTAGGGAGTTGAGACTGGCCTGAATGAATGGTTCCTTCAGACGATTTGAACTATTCAATAATGAGATTGTTCAACCTGAGAGAAGCTTGAGTTATTACTTAAATTTTATGTATAATCAAATGATGATATAAGGAAAGGTTATCTTTTGATAAAATCTTTCATTAATAACACACGTCAACACTGTTTTTGTCACATGAACTTTGTGATGTTTTTTGTTTATGTTGGCATACCCTCATTATAAATATATAATAATTTTCTTTCAATCACATCCAGTTTTTTGTGACAGCTATATATTCATCTCTGAACTTATATACGTATTTTTGTTTGAATAACGTCATTTAGGCGGCTGTATAACTATTGCATCAACAAACAACATTTTGTTTTCCTTAGGTACATCACAAATATGCTATGAGAGTGTTGTAATATCCCCGACAGTGTTTGTAATGTGTGTGGAGAATAAAGTTTTATATCTCAGCTTCGAAATTTTACAGGGCTGTTTAGACTATCTTGGATTTTCTATGCAGCATGAAGATAAATCCGGGGTCCCACATAAATGTTGTATGACATGTGTGACATTGTGCTAAACAAGAACCAAGACATTTGCCATTTGGTATTTCAATTATTTGGACAAAACCAAAGGATCATGTATGTGATTGTTATTTATTTTTGACAAAAAAAGACATTATAACGAAGTCCAAATATACTATTCTGTATCCAAACTTGTCTTCGGCCAACAGACCTATTCTAGATAGTGCCGAACTGCCTATGCCGAAGCCTCCAAATCGACCAGAAAGTTGGGATTTCAGTCCGGAACTTGTTCTAAGTTTGCATAACTTTCATGAAGATAGTGACCCAAGTTTTGGATCGCAAACTTCAAAAGAACCGTACTTATTGATACAAAGTGATTTAAACGATCTATTTTGTGATTTGAATCTGTCTAAAAACAGATTGAGCTTTTGTAGTCTAGATTAAACGACTGGAAATTACTTTCTCCTGATACAGAAGTTTCTCATTTTCGACATAGTGACGATGAAATAAAACCTTACTTACCTAAAGCAGATGATGAAATAAATAACATTTCTGTTGTGATAAATTTATTGAATATTATATCCAAGTCACTGACGATTGTTCATTGAGTCCTCAAAAACTAGTTTTAAAGCAGTGTTGCTGCATAACGGAAACGAAATCTCTTCAGTGCCGGTTGCTCATGGTTCTGATGTGAAAGAGGCTTAAGAAAATATGAGGTTTTTTCTTGAAAAAATAAATTACAGTGAACATGCTTCGAAAATTCAACTTTTGCTTGGACTACGGCTTGATTACACAAAATTTTGCTGTTTTATTTGCGAGTGGGACAGCAAAGACTGAAAAAGTCACTATACAAAGAAAGTGTGGCCCAAGCGTGAGTCACTTACTACATACAGGCCGTAAAGATGTTAAAAATGAGCTTTTAGTGAATCCTGATGACATACTTTTACCATCGTTGCACATAAAGCTAGGTCTGATAAAAAAATTTGTAAAAGCTATGCGCAAAGATGGTTGTGGATTTTTATATCTGAAAGAGAAATATCCCAAACGCAGTGACGCAAAAATCAAAGAGAGAATGTTTGTAGGCCCACAATTGCCAATAAAGAATGAGAGCTTTGAAAAAAAACTAAATAATAAGAAAAACATCACCTGGAAATGATCAGTGAATGTTGTCCAAAATTTCCTAGGGTATCATGAAGCGTAAAATTATAAAGACATGGACTTATAATGTCATATAATGCTTCGGGGTGTAATATGTCGTTGAAAATACATATGTTAGGCTCTCATCTGGATTTTTTTCCGCAAATTTGGGTGCTGTGAGTGACGAACAAGAAGGGTGGTTTCATCAGAATATTTGCCTCATGGAGAAGCGTTATCAAGGGGAATGGAGTCCAGGAATGCTAGCAGATTATTGTTGAAAACTTAGAAGGGACCTACCAGAAGCCAAATATTCACGAAAATCATAAGTATTTATTGTACATCAAGTGATTATTTTTTCTGAGTGTAGTTTATTTTTGCATTTCTCATGAAAATATATGTTTTGATGTCGAAGGAAAACCTGATGTGTCATTTTTTTCATTGATACATTATTGGTTGGTGGCCTTGGTAGATTCAAAATTTGATCACAGTTTTCATGTGGCAAAAAACAGTTGAAATATTGTTGAACAGTGTAATTTTGTATATGTACATATATTAAAGCTACCATTAGTCATTTGTTACTTTTGTAGGATTGAATAATGATACTAATAGTGTTCACACACAAAATTGGTTTCATCATTTTTGAGCCACGTTTCACAAAATGAAATAATATTACGTGCTCACTGGTTGTGTTTTCATCATACTTCTTTCTGATATAAATGGGTGGGGTCGTTTCTGAGACTATCGTACATGCCAGCATTTAGAAAGTCTAAAGTCTTCTCCACGTATTCTTCTTTGTTCATGGCTATGACCGTTTTGCTTTTATCAGCTCGCGTAAAAACAATGTTATCTTCTGCCAATTTCTCTTTTATGGATTTCACTAGTTTCAAGTTCGGATTGAACATACCTTTATGCATCTTTTCAGATTTTAAAATTTCTGCAGCAATGTGTTTATTGGCCTAGCATGTTCCCATCAACGCGATATCTGTATCAATTCCCAAGACTTCTAAATTCGTCTAATTTATGTTGGGTTTAATATTGTAATTGAGACCTTTTTCTAATAGATGAGTTTCCTGTTCCGTGAAACTAGTGTTCGTGAGATTGACAAATCTGGGTTTAAAACTTCTTATGTATGATACCATTGACTTTATCACGAATATCCGAGTCTAGGACTTGAAATTCAATGTAGTGGAGTTTATATAAAATTTTTGTATGAACCACTTCAAGATAGATGTTGGCAAGATGTTTCTATCATTTTTTCTATCTATCTATAACAACTTGGGCATGCACATTAAAAATAACGAAGATAAAAGTTCAGTTTCAGAAAAATCAGGAGTGTATAAATTATCGTGGGGGTCATGTCCGATGTTCTATATAGGTCAAACCGGAAGAACGTTCAAAACCCGCATAAAGGAACACAAATATAGTTTTCAGAACGGAAAATTAAATTCCACATATGCCAGTCATCTAATCTCAGAAGGACATGAGTTCAACCATGAATATGATCCCCTCCATTTCCAGAAGAAAGGTTTGAAACTTAACCTGTTGGAGAGTATGGAAATTAACAAATTCAAAAACTCAACATCTCATGAACGATCAAACTGAATTGAATAATTCATTTTGAATCTGTTCATTCGCATTCGCATTCGAAAAATGTATTGATACCTGACTTTTTCAGGTATATTTTTCAGGTAGATTTATTACTTAGGTAGACGCATAGGTACTAGCTTATAGTATATGAGGTTGTAATTTAGAAGTAACTCTCAGTTATGCTTGAAGAAGCTATTGTATAGCGAAACACGTGTCGCGGTTTTTGTAAAACTCTTATAGTGAAAATCATAGAATAAACTCTATTTATTAGTTTTATAAATATGGATTTTCATCAAGTATCGGCCAGTTCTATGCAACAACTTTTTTCATATCATCGCACCTTTTTCTATCCCATTTCAATCACTTTTTGCCGAGTTTCCTGAAATTAGAATAAAATTTCATAAATTGTCAGGTGTACACATCGACATAAACTTATAGGTTATGTCAGTGGGTGCATACAAATCATTTTTTATAAATTGTATTAAGTTTCACTATTCGAAAATACGTTCCTTTTAGAATTCGGAGGTCAGGTTAGATGTTGAGGATACATAGTTTTTTGAAATTTAAAAGTATGGTTAGGTTAGGTCGGGTTAGGTTAGGTTGAGTTAGCGTGTGACAAATTATGGAATTTCGATATAATTTCAAGAAATTTGGCAATGAGTGGATGAAGAGGGTTAGATAAAAGTGCGATGATATGGAAAAAGATGTGTTGAATAAAAAATATGTGAATTGCAATCGTTTATTGCTCAAAAAAAAAGGTAAAATATGACATCATACACACTTCGACAGGCTATACCTCGAAAACTAATTGAGTTCGACAAAAAGTAAAAAGTATTCTGAATTCTTACCATCACGTAGTATCATCACAGAAAAAATCGCGAGAATCCGTGAGTATCCCATAAAGTAAAATTGTCCCTACTATCTCATATCATTATGTACATATGAAATTCCCAGTTTCTCATCTCCAATCTTTGACCGAGCTGAAATATTCGAAGAGGACCCATGACGCTTCCAGGGTAACAGATCCTTGTTTAAATTTGTTTCAAATGACAATTCTGAAATTAAACTGAAGTGACATTTAAATTTCGTGATTTCATCAAAATTATATCGTGAAAAATGTCCAATGCTGCACCCGTGACGACACGCCGGGTGGCGATGATCGTCCTTTCCACCATCAAAAAACTCGGAAACTCCAGAGGGGTCACCCTCAAGAAGATACACGATTACATCAAGGAAGAGTATCCCAATTCTCCATATAACATGATGAGGCTGAACAACACCCTTCAGAAGGCATTGGCATTTGGTGCTGTTTCCAAGAGAAATAACAGGTAAGACCTTCCACCTAATTTGGAAAATTCACTTGATGAGATATCAAATTTATTTTGACAGCTGTCATAAGCTGAGGGTAGGATATACAGAGCTGATTGATTGATTTTCGAACATTTTCTGAACGATTTCTAGTATTTTTTATAACGTGATGCAAAATTATTAGTATTGGAAATAGTTATTATTATATTGACAAATGCCGCAACAATGATTGAAATCGACTATTTTTTTCTAGATATGTTCTTGGGAACATAATGAGAGGCATGAGAGGGTTGAATTCTTCGAAAGGGCGAAAATACTCCGTCATACAAGCGAGAAGAAGGAGACGAAGAGGTAGAAAAGGTGGAAAGAAAGGTAGAAAAGGAAGAAGCAGAAAGAGGAGCAAAAGACCATCTAGAAGAAAGTCACTCAGAAGGAGGAGGCGTTGAAATCATCTCATTTTGTAATTGTGTCGTTGTAAGCAGTAAAGTGGGTCATTATTATTTGAGTTTTATTTTAGTTCACTTGAATATTTTGAAGAACATTATAAATAACAAAAGAAACAAAAAGCTAAAACCTTGGATAACAGTCGATTAAAACGAGGGATAGCCTAAAAAAAACATTTCTGCTTAAAAATACTCAAGAAAATGAAAGAAAATATAAGGACTATAGAAATAAACTCAATAACTTAATAAAACGAACAAAAAATGATTATTATAAAAATAAACTACAAGAGGTTAATGGTAACTGTAAACAAACTTGGAAAATAATCAAAGATATCACAAACATGGATGCAAATAGAAATAATGTAGAAAGCACAACAATCAATAAAGGAAATGGTGAAACCGTAAGTTGTAATGAAGAAAAAGCTAATCTGTTCAATAACTTTTTTCATAGTGTAGGTGCAAATATGGCAAAAAAAATTGAAAAATGTGACCTACCCAAAAACTTTTTAAATGATACCAAGGTAGCATCCTCCTTATTTTTCGAACCAGTGACAGAAAATGAAATAATATGTCTAATTTCTAAGTTAAAAAACTATAGTGCACCAGGTCCTGACGAAATAACTAGCAAACTGATAAAACATATACATCAATACCTATTGAAACCACTAGTTCATTTGATTAANTACCATGGATTATTATAATATTATCATATTTTTTTATTATTTTATAAAATGTACTTACTGAGCTCTTATCTTGGTGAGTAACAGATCACAATACAGGCATTTCAATGTCTAGGTGAAAGTTACTCATTCAAGATAATTGAAATTTATTAATTATGTATGTCATACAACAAATTGTATATTAACATGGAAATAAAAAATTACATTCTCAAAAAAAAAAAAAATTACATTTCGGTTACTATAGTGTCATTCCTTCAAGATACATATATTGACTCAAAAATTCAGTTTTGTGGTTGGATTACAATATTTTAAAGAAAACCATAATCAAATTATATTCCTTTTTTTCCAAGGCACTGCAACATTTTTTGGGTTTTAACTTCCTCGATCTAACAAATTAACAGAGCTGAATCAATAGTTTGCTGAGCAAACTGAAGTTTCAATCCGAAAAACTTGTAATCATGAATTTTGGTACAATAATCAATGAAAATTGAGTTGACAATGAAATAATTTTACCACCTGAGACAGCTAAGTGTGATAATTTCATTTATTCCACTGACTTTTCAATTCGTAGACAAAATTTATGAATACGACAGGTTACTGAATAATTCCCCGGTTTCATATCACACAGTTACTTCTCGACCCATCTCAGGTCTCATAATTGGTATTAGATTGAACCACAAATGTATTGCAGTACTCAAGTGTCCTTGAAACAAAACCCTTAGTGAGCCTGAGGCGATGAAATCTTTCCTTATAAAGGCGCCATCAATGGGATCCACAGAAAACATAATCTTATATCAAAGATGAGAAAGGTTCCCCAAGGCGGTCATTTGCAAACTTCAACGTAAATCACCGAAAAAGAATCCTCTGCTATTTTTTCCTTCACCTTTCACTGAAAGGCAACTATTTGGAAGTAAAGTCCGAAAATGAGGTATCCGTGATCCAACATTGGTCTCGTCAGTGGTGCAAGGCTAGACCATGAATGCATTGCTAGACTTGACTGTCCTTCAAGGATAAGCCTGAGTGGGTGAAAGCAAGACGAAGAAAATAATCGTGTCGGAAATCAAAAATTAACTAGTCTTCGCTCGGCGGAAAACTTGGAAGCTTGGAAAATCAAGCTTCAACATCGACCGCCAAACGTGATTCGTAATTCATCCTTTCATCGTCATTTCAATTGTCATATTATTAGTTGAAACCAGAGTCCAAAAACAACGTATACGTGGTCCAACACCAAACGGCACCATATATCTCATCAACGTTGCTAGCCTGAATCACGAATACATTACCGGAGAACTTTCTCAAAGGACAAGCTTCAAGTAAGTGGAAGTGATTACATGTTGCCTTCGATGGTGTCTCTACAGAACTATTGCCAAATGAGTTTGCATGAAAAAAATATAACGACGAATTTATTAGAGTGTGTCGACCAATGGACAAGAGCTCTTGACGGAGGCTGTTGCTTCGCAAAAGATTACTGTGCAAGCCAAATTACGTTGAAGTACGATGCGAACTACAGTGCGTTGAAACTTCCTTTTGAATAAAAGTTGCAGGGTGAGCATCTATGGAGAACTTTCAGAAGGTGGAGTGCCCCAAAGATTCGTGATGGGGCTACTACTATTTGAAACTTCTATCATGGATCTCGGATCTCTGAACGAATGCATCTTTCTTTGCTGACGATACTGAATTTTTCGCCAATGCAATGCATTAACGGACGACATTGAATCTGTCAAAAATTGCTCCTCTCAATCAGTGATGCTGAATATACAGTACTTGATATGGGATCCAACAATACCAAATACCAACTTCTGTATCTAAACGATTCTAGCAATCATAACGGATGTTAACACAATTTCTTGCATGACAATGATTTCCATTGCATTCGAAAACATATCTCCTGAATATATCCCCTTGATATGTAAGAATTACGTATAACCGAAATCATGGTATGGTTCAATCATTTTGTGAGCGACTCAGGTTAGACTTAATGAGTATGATTGTTGAACGAATACATGAGGACCTGCTGAAGCGTTAGACCTTATGAAAAGCTTATGCTGTAACAACGATGTAATGTTATTTTGTATGTATCTCTATTTTTTCCATTCTTTCATTTTATACAGGGTGTAACTAAATAAGTGTAAAACATTCAAGAAGGTGATTCCCCATCGAAAAAAAGATACGATCTTTCATATGAATAAACTTTATTGAAGCATCCCTTGTTAAGATACATCCTTTTAAAGGGGGTACATATAATTTGTATAACAATTTTTTTCACAAGCACTGAAGAAGATACAATATTGAAATCGACCTTACGTATCGTACTACCAAAAAGACACTTAACCCGAAATTTATTTGGTTTACCCCATGGTTGTGAGGGGTGTAAAACGCAACCCCTAAAATTTATTTCCAATGTAACTTTTTGTCTTATTATTTGTTTACCATTTAAAAATTCATTTCCAATAGCCTGTTTTATTCTAAATAAAAAATGTCTCTTGGATTTTTGCCCAAAATAAACCAGTTCGCAGCAAAAAATTATTTTACGAACAACTACAGAGATACATCGTCATAAATGCGAAAATACGAAACTAATCTATCTAGTAGGTCGGTATTAGCGATAGTGACAATTAAATTGGTATGACGCTGTCAGTTTGTGAATTTTTGAAATTGACTTATTACTTATTGTGTGTTGTTGTTCTGTTCTCAATTTGTTACTTTAAATGGCTATTATTATTATTAAAATGGCATACACAAATGAGGAAATGGCTGATATGCATTGAGTTTACGGTCTGTCGCAGGGGAATGGGTTAGAAGCTTCTAGAATATATGCTGAAATGTATCCTCAATGGCAGCATCCTTCACATAGAATATTTGCTCGACTTCATCAACAATTACGACAATATGGTTCATTCGACAAAAGAGCACAGGATTGTGGTCGCCATCGAGAAGTACGAACACCACAGCTCGAGGAAGCAGTACTTAATTTGATTGAAGAACAACCTACTACCAGTACTAGAAAGATTGATTTCCAGCTAAATGTTGATCATATGACGGTATTTCGAATTTTAAAGGAACAACTCTTATACCCTTACCATTTGCAACGAGTACAGGCACTGTTACCTCGAGACTTTCTGAACCGTCTTGAATTTTGCAATAGGATGCTGATTAGAATAAATTGTGACTTTCTGAAGATGATAGAATTCACAGACGAATGTAGTTCTTCTCGGGACAAGATTATTAATTTTCATAATTACCACATATGGGCTGATGAAAACCCTCACGCTATTGTCGAAACTAACCATCAAGAACAGTTTTCTCTTAACGTGTGGCTTTAATTGGGCCTCATTTTTTATCTCCTCGATTAAATGGAGAGGCATACGTTCAATTTTCAAGAGAAGTGAATCCAGTACTGCTGGAGGAAGTTCCTTTTGGCGTCAGAAGGGATATGTTTTTTATGCATGCTGGGGCCCCCGCCCATTTTGGTCAAGTAGCACGTCTGCATTTAACTGAAACATATGCAAATCAGTGGATAGGTCGAGGAGGATCACAGATCTGGCCCGCTCGATCCCCGGACCTCAATCCTCTCGATTTCTCTATCTGGGGCCATTTACAGCATTTGGTTTATCGTACTCCTGTTCGCGATGTAGAGGACAGGGTGCAGGGTAATCAGAGAGACTCCAGGAATATTTGAGCGAATACGTGGCTCAATACGCCGACGTCTAGACGCATGCGTAATGTCTGAAATTAGTTTTGTTTATTACCCTTTAATCGTTTAATGCAGGTACTAACTACAAAATAACAATAAATCCAGTTCGCATTTATGACGATGTATCTCTGTAGTTGTTCGTAAAATAGTTTTTTGCTGCGAACTGGTTTATTTTGGACAAAAAACCCAAGAGACATTTTTTGTTTAGAATGAAACAGGCTATCGGAAATAAAATTTCAAATGGTAAACAAATAATGGAACAAAAAGTTACTTTGGAAATACATTATAAAAGTTACATACTCCAACCATGGAGTAAACCAAATAAATTACTGTCTTTTTGGTAGTACAAAACGTCTGGTTAATTTCAATATTGTAACTTTTTCAGTGCTTGTGAAAAAAATTGTTATACAAATTTAATGTACCCCCTTTAAGGGGCTGTATCTTAACAAGGGATGCTCCAATGAAGTTTCTTTATATGAAAGATCCTATCTTTTTTTCGATGGGGAATCACTTCCTCAAATGTTTTACACTTATTCAGTTACACCCTGTATTTTTTGAAATGAACTTTTCCACATTTCAGCAGACTTTTACAAATCTTGGGATTCTTAAGTGAGGTTGGTTCATTTCACAACGAATTTTAGTCAGTTTCTACCATAATTTTTAGCGAGTTGTTTTCAGGTGTG